GCCTGGGCAAGCCAAGGGAAGGCAGTTTAAACTGCCTTCCCTTCAAGGGGGGCTTGTCTGGGCTCCCCGCAGCTGCAGGTCATCGGGCAAGCCAAGGGAATGCATGGGATGTGGCCTTATATGCTAATGAACAGTGCTGTCAAGGGTGTGACCTAATATGCTAATGCATTTCTGGTGTTGGGGTGGCCTATTATGCAAATGAGTTTATGCTGGGCTTTTTCTACAAAATAAGCCCTGTTTATAACTATAGCTTGCAGCTATGTTTGTTATTGTTAAATTAGTCGAATGCAAACAAGTTTTTTGTTACCCAAAGTAGGCAGTCTCCACTTAGTTTGGGGGAATTAGCTTGGAGACAGAGCAAGAGATAACTGGGATCTCCCACTATGTATAGGGAGTTATTCCTATGAGAAATCTAGAAAATAACCAGATAATTATTTACAGGAAAGGCTTTTATTGGAACAAAAAGAAAACAGGATAAAAATAAGGATGCACACCGCAAACACATACAAGAGCTAACAAGGAAAAGTATTGTAGGGATGAGTGATAATTACCAGTCTTGAAGAGGTCCACAGAAGCAGCAAAGTTGAAGAGGAAACAGCCAGCATTTTGGGAAGCAAAAGAGTGCCCACACGCAAGTAAGGGTGTGAGGGAGATCCAAGAACACACACACTACTGGGGCAACAGGGTGACATATTTATAGGGCAAAACATATCCTGAGGCTGATTGAGTCACTGCCAGAGGTCAATGAGCTGATTGTTCTACTGGAGGTAGGCAAAGAGGTGGGAGAGGTTTAACGGCCCTACAAGACCAGATGGGAAGGGTAATTGGGAAGGTGAATAGACTTAAGCATTGATTAATCACTGCTTAATCAAGGGTAATGGGTGAAGAGGAAGACAGGCTTGCGTGCTGAAGGGTCCTGGGTGACCCATTGTTCAAAGTCATGCATCTCTCTAAGGCAACAATGGATAGTAGCCAGCCAGCTACTCTGACTCACACCTTGAAAACTGCTTTCCCAGACCTCTGTGTGACTGGCATCCATCTTGGTCCACTTTGGTCCAAGCAGTGCCCTGCACTTAAGGTATTGGGGTGATGTATAGAGGGGTGTTTCTGACTTTTAAATCTATAAACTGTCCCTCAGTGAGAGGAGGAGTCTGACTGCTAATTCATTTATCAAATCTATATCCTGCTCCCTCACCCCCGAAAGGGACTTAGGGCGGCTAACAACATACTAAATACACCAATAAAACAATACAAAGATACGATAAATAATCTTTAAAGTGGGCAGTTCATGTATTAGAGACCTTTAATAAATTCCGATATGAAGATCGGAGAACAAGTTAACAAGTTCAGTTGAGACATAAGCGGCGGCCTTCTTGGCAGAGCAGGGTTTGAAACTTGGTATCTAATCTCCAGACTTAACACTCTTCTACATTCATCAGTTACATTCTCTCAGCCTAAACTACCTTGCAGAGCTGTTGTGAAGATAACATGAAGCAAGAACCATGCATGCAGCCTGAGCTCCTTAGACAAAGGGCAGGATAAAAATTAGACAGGCGGACAGATATTTAGAGTCAGTTCTTCCAAAGCAAATTTCACTGACAAGATTCCATTGTACCTGGATCCAAGCCAGTTTTATTAACTGAAATTCAGGGAAAGTCTTCTGTGAGAACAAGAATACAAAAATATCAGGAAGCCAAAAAAGATGGCAGCATAATTTGTTTGACACAATGATTTTGGCAGATGTACCTTGTCCACATAGAAGAAACTTAGTTCTCAAAAATTAAATCCTCATTTTCATTACTAATGACCCTAAATGTAAGCTAGATACAAATAAATGGAAATAACTGACAATGCAGTAAGCTAGGTGTGCACAGTGCCTTGAACAAAATTCTGATATACATTTGGCACAGTGCAGGATTCTTAAGTGAGTCTGTTTCCTTCAGAAGATCAGGTAGACATTTAGAGACGAATTGCAGGAAACCATTTCTTCTGAAAACTAAAATAAATATTTATTAAAAAGCAATTAACAAAAACATATCTGCTATCTTTTTCTAGGATGCAGACCTTTATCACAGTTCCTTCTTTCATGAATCAGGGACATTACCTGAAGCCTTTTTCCTGTTTTTTAAAACAGTTAAATGTATTCAACGGTGTACTTTATTTCATTGGACTGTGCCTGATGCACCTAATGAATTCATGAAATGAATTCAAGGATCCAACAGAACTAGCCATGGGTAAGATTGTCAGTAGTATGTCTGGCATTCCATCTTAAAGTGTAATATCTAACTACCTAATCTTTAAGACACTTACAATGTAATCCTGTGCAGTGTTACAATCTTCTAAAACCATTGACTTCGTAGACTTAGAGGAGTGTAACTCAGTTCTAATTAACAGCCAAATCCAAAACAATCTCCATTTGGCTAGGTCAGGTCTTTGTGCTTCTGGGAAAGAACCCCGTTGTGCAACAGGTGTCATTCCAGCAATGCTGAAATATTCAATAGAGTTGAAAGTAAGATATTGTCAGAGCTCATAATAACATAGAGATTAAATGATCTGGCTGGATAAACAAAACTCTCTATAGGTAGTGCATTCTTGTTCCATTCAGACCTACATAATCCTTTTAAGCTGTTCAGAACTAAAGTCAATAAATACAGGATGTTAATATTTTAACATGTGACATCAATTACATGGTATTCTTGCATGGTGTGACATACCAGTGTAGTGACTGTTTATGTCACCTTTTATCCTCAGATCTTTCCAACGAGGATCACTTCAAACATGGGATAGGCAGTCCATCTATTGAAAACTGCTTCCCTATGAGGGTAATTGAGGGCTGCCAAACCCCAGGTTGGGGTAGGGAAATCCCCTGCCCTGGGTTTCTGTTCCCCGTGGCAGCTTAGAGCAGTAGGGTGAGCAGGAATTAAAATTAATAAAATGCTTAAAATGTTAAACATTCTACCACCATCACATGCATGATGATGTAACTTCTGGTTCCATGGAATACCTGGAAGAGCTGGCAGTAGCCTTAGGAACCAACAGAAACTCTATGATAAAACCATAGAGTTTTCTGCAATTCCTAGAACTCCTGCCATTGCTTCTGGGTATTCCCCATATGTGACATCAACATCCACATGATGCCACCCACCTTCCTGCTGGTTGCTAGTCTTGGCCTGGCATCTCTAGGGTGACTCCATGAGAAGACTTTAATATTTAAAAACTGCTTTCCATATCAACGTAAGAAGAGGTCTGTTGGATCAGATCAGGGATCTGGCTTGTTTAGTATCCTGTTAACAGTGGTCAACAAGATGATGCCAGTAAATCCACTAGCAGGAATAGGACCAGGAGACCATAGTTCTCCTTGAGTTGCTTCCAAGAAACTGATAGCACACAAATTCCATTTAGCTATAGACTGACCTATCCTCCATGAATTTGTTTGATCCAGTTATAACACCATATAAACCACTGGCCATCATCACATCTTGTGGCAGTGAATTCTACATATGAATTCGATACTTTATTTTCTTCATTCTAAATGTACTGTGCCAATGACTTTCACTGGGTGACACCGAGTTCCATTATTACTAGTAAAGGTAAAGGTTCCCTTGCTCAAAAGCCAGTCGAATCCGACTCTGGGGATGCGGTGCTCATCTCTGTTTCCAAGTGACGAGCCAGCGCTGTCCAAAGACATTTCCGTGGTCATGTGGCCGGCATGACTAGATGCCGAGGTGCACGGAACGCTGTTACCTTCCCACCGAAGTGGTACTTATTTATCTACTTGCAATTTCTTGCTTTCGAACTGCTAGGTTGGCAGGAGCTGGGACCAGAGATGGGAGCTCACTCCGTCATGCGGCACTCAAGTCTCGAACTGCTGAACTACTGACCTTCCAATAAAAAGCCCTCTCTATTCACTTTTTCCATACTAAGCAGAATGGATTAGTTTGAAGCTATGGGAAATCGTCATGCCAACCTTCCTGGAAGCTGTACTGCCCTAGACATACTCCAGGAGACGGGGCTAGTCATCCCCCAAGTTGATATATCTCCCAACTGGATTCATAGTGGTCTGGAACTAAATTTTGGTGGCTTAATTATGCTGAGTTTGGGAGATCAATAGAAGTATAATATCTGGAAATTGTGAAGCCATATTTAAAAGAAGCAGCATTTTACTCATTCTAGAAGAGAAAATATTTCATAGGAATTATTGGTCAGTTGTCTCCAAAATTTTCCATTGGGAAAAAAGAAAAAAGTCCCTGGGAAAAACTTTTTTCTATTTTTTCCCAGTTATTTTCTGGGCCTTCCAATCCCTAATCAAGGGATCTTAATGTTTAGACTTTTATTTTAAAATCTTGTAAAGTTGCAGTTGATTGCTTTGCTTTTAGTAATACTGGAGATATACAGCTATTTATATATAGATGTAGATAGATTTTTTTCTTTTTTAAAATAATAAAAGACTTGCCCCACTGAAAACAAATACCCAAGAATGAATATGTGTGTAAATGGAGAATTCTGACTGAGGTTAATGAAAGAGGCCTTATCAGTGATATGAGAAGTGTCTTTCAACTTTGATGGTCTTTGAACTCTGTGCATCAGATGAAGTAAGTCCTGACCTTACAAAACTTATGATGGAATGAATTTTGTTTGTCTATAAGGTGCCACTGCTACAGACTAAATGGCTAACTATTTTAGGTGGAAAGCATGAGTTATACTGTTAGATCAATCTTTCCACATAGATAATGTTCATAGCACACTCAGCAACAATATTAAAGTCTGTGATGATAGGAATGAACATTTTGTAAGTAACAAGGAAGTGGATTAGTTCTGGATGACTATGCTGACCAGTCCTCTGTTTTTTCCCATAACTCCATATGTTGTTTGTCCACTTTTGATAGCATAATTTTGGGGGGGGGGTTATATGAATTTTAAGGTTTTTATACATGAAATAAAGAAGAAGAAGAAAACAAAGTAAAGTAACAACAAAACACATAGAAACAAAGCTGTTGTTTTGCTAGCATAATTTTGCATTGTTATGCCAGTATAAATTGACTACACTGGCCAGACTTTGTGTTCAGGTGAAAAATAAGAACATAAGAGAAGACAATGTTGGATCAGGCCAATGACCCATCCAGTCCAACACTCTGTGACACAGTGGCCAAAAATACCAGGCGCCATCAGGAGGTCCAGCAGTGGGGCCAGGACACTAAAAGCCCTCCCACTGTTGCCCCCCCAGCACCAAGAATACGGTGCATCACTTGCCCCAGACTGAGAGTTTCTATCTATACCTTGTGGCTAATAGCCACTGATGGACCTCTGCTCCAAGAGGATTCAGTTGTGATCTTGTCCCTGACCCTGACTGTTCTTCAAGATAAGTGGCTGCAATCCTGTCTTTGTTACTGTTTGGAATCTTTCCCATCAGTTCTCCCATAGATTTTAATGTTAAACATGGATGCCTTTCATTCCCTTCAAAAGGGGGCGGTGCTTTATTCTATATGTCTGAAATTTGGCAGTGTGGGTATCCTTGGTGAATACAACAAACTCCTTGATTTTTGTCTGATTTGAACAGGTAAATATAGAGGTAGAAACCCAATAAAGGAAGGGAGTGTCTTCCACTGAAACACATGGAAAATAATAAAATAGAATTAGGAAAAGAAAATAACAATAACAAAAGAAACGATAATGAGACTTCCGGCCGCGGCAAGGCAAATGGCGGTCGCACTCTTGGGACGCTCCCGGAGGCGATTCGCCCACGCGCGGTTGGGGGGGCTCCGCATGAGCGGAGAACCTAAGGAGCCTTAGTTTACCTCTTTTGCCGACCCGATGGTCGGGAAATTGAGGCTTTCCCCATGCTCCAAAGGCCCCGCCGCGTTGTGCCCTGACGGGACCAGCCATGCCACCGGATCCACCGGAGTGATGGAGCGATGAAACGCATACAAGAGACAGAAAAAATGCTGAAAACCGTGAGTGGATGATCGAAAAATTGTAAAAGCCTCTCATTCCCCCCAAAGAAAGCGTAGGAAGTGGGCGGGCAGCACCCCCATAATAAAATGGGACTTTGTTTAAGCATGAGAAAAGGGGGTGTGTGAGAATCTAAAGCAGTAAAGTTACCTTTTGGGAAATTCATTAAAGCGAAGAAGAGGGATCTTTTCCCAAGCCTTGCGGCATGGGCTTTTTAAAAGTAAACAAAAAGCCAAGATGTCGGGGCCAAAAAGAGACAAGGAGAAGGAGAAGCAGGCGAAGAAGCAGACAGGAACTTCCGGTCCTG